TCTCCCTTTGTTCTCCTCTTGCCTGCTTGGCTCCTAACCTTCTGTCCTAACTCACATACCTCTCGCCCTCTGCCCAGGTGAGGGCCTATTCAGATGCTTAGGCACAAACAGCTGCAAATAAGAGGCATATTACCCTCAGGCCATGGTAAACAAAAGTATCCCTGCTGACATTAACAATACAATAGTGGGCCGGAGTTTCCTGGCGCTATCGCTGTTATGGTGGCCAGAACCTGGGACCCAATATTTGGTCCCCCACACACTTTAAAAGGCCTGATTACCCTTTTGCATTGTGAATTAACATTTTCCAAAACCAAAGGTTCAATTAATATTTGTCTAACTTCTGGATCTAATATCATTCTACTTACTGCTGAAGTCAATCTTTGTAAAAAAAAAAAAATCAGTGAAGTTTTCTTTTGGGCCTTGTATAATTTTAGTAAATGACTCAGTTCTTTTTTGGATTCTTCATCCCTGTTTCAAGCATTCAAAGGTGCTGTATGATGTGGGTGGCACAAACATCTGATCATCATATACAGGCTGTCTTTGCAAATTGGCCTGATCACCTAATCTTGGGAAATATCAATACCTCTACCCCGACTTCATTGTTCTGTGACCCTGGCTTCCTTTTTCTACCATGTTTCCCATTGTAACTGAGGACCAGATTCCAATACTGCTGTAACCAAATCTTTCCAGTCTGTGGGATAATTCTGTTAACATCTGCCTCACAAAAGGTGAATGCATACCATATGAAACTATCACTTCCTTAAATCTCCTGAAATATAACATTTCAACAGGATACAAGTAAGCTTTTCCATAGCCTTGGTGATACCTATCATTTGGTAATTTTTATTGTCTGGTGACTGGATAAATTCAAGTTGGTTTTCTGATAACCTTGGCCCACTCCTCTTCAATATTGTAATGGTGTGGTAGTTTCTGCTCTAAATTCCTTTGCCTGTGTCTGAATATTTTATTCATAAGTTTTTCCAAGGCTTGTATCTTATCAGTCAATTTTTTTATTATTTTCACTAGTATTTATACAACTTGTATTTTATCAATTTTTATTATTTTCATTAGTATGTATTTCTTTTTTCTTCTTCTTCTTTTTTTGGTTTTTCAAGACAGGGTTTCTCTGTGTAGCTTTGGAGCCTATCCTGGCATTTGCTCTGGAGACCAGGCTGGCCTCGAACTCACAGAGATCCGCCTGCCTCTGCCTCCAGAGTGCGCCACCAACTCCCGGCTCATTAGTATGTATTTCTAAGGCTTGTATATTATCTGTAGTAACCTTTTCTAAGCCTTGTAGCCTATGAATATTAAGTTTTTCTAAAGTTTGTGTCTAATCAGTCAGACTGACATTTGGCACAGTTATCAAATGGATTACCACGCTTACAATAATCATGACCGACATTATGTTGATCCCAGCTAAGCTTTTTAATCTGCTCGATTATCTTTTGTTTTCATCCCATCCATAGTACCAGTAAACAGGGCCCTAATTACCTGCATTATGACATGACCAATTCTTTTTGTTTGTTTGTTTAAGACAGGGTTTCTCGATGTAGCTTTTGGAGGCTGCTCTGGAACTCAGTCTGTGACCAAGCTGGTCTTGAACTCACAGAGATCCACCTGCCTCTGCCTCCCAAATTCTGGGATTAAAGGTGTACACCACTGCCCAGTTGGTCTTTTTAAGTCTTTTTTATACCCTGCTTGTATATTTGCTTTTAGAGAAATGCAGCTAGACATTTTGCTAGCTTTGCAATAAAAAAACACATGGGCCAGGCATGATAGTGCTTGCCTTTAATCCCAGTGCTATACACAGTGCTAAATGGAAGCCAGTGAGATGGACCAGGGGGTAAGGGCTCTTGCTGCCAAACTTGCTGACTGGTTTGATTCCTGAGACTTACATGATGGAAAGAGAGAGCTGCCTCTTGCCAATTGTCTTCTGATCTGCGTGCATATGTATGCTGTGCCATATACTCACTGTCCCTACAGCTCCCTCATACATTAATGTCATTTAAAGAAACCGTGTGATGGGGCTGGCGAGGTGGCCATGATGATAATGGACTAAACCTCGGAACTGTGAGCCAGCCTCATTTAAATGCTCTCTTTTGTAAGATTTGCTGTGGTCATGGTGTCTCTTCACAGCAATAGAACCCTCAACTAAGACACTTTGAAATAGGAATTTGGTTACCTTCATTTCTCATCATGAGACCCTACTGAACACAGTTTCCCTGAGCACTATAGGGCAGAGCATCCCACTGAAGCTGTGAGTGGCTAAAATCCTTGCTGGTTTTTTTTTTACAGTTCTCTGTTCCTGGAGTCAGCTTGTCACAAATGGTCTGAGGTGCATACTGAGGACTCATTACCCATCAGGCACTGCTCTCAGCCCTGGGGTTACTGGTCAGTTGAAGAGATCCAAAGCCCAGTCCTTATCTAAATCTGCTGTTCTCCAGTGGGAAATGCTGTGGAACAAGCACCTAGGATTGCTTGGAGCTCCCTTAGAGGATGGGGCGCTGGAGCATCCCCAGGGCACAGGATGATTGATAGTGGGCAGCAGTGAGCTCCTTGTAGATCTTCAGTCCAGGCCGCCTTCACACATAGCTCAGAAAGGTAAACTCTCATTCTTGTGAACAAGCTTCTCAATGGCAGACTGAAGCAGAGTCACTGAGCCTGTGAAGTCTGCTTGAAAAGTTACTTTTACACATCCATAGGTTTCATACAGGGCCACAGCAACACTCTCTTTTATTAAAGCTTACCCAGGTGTGGCTAGACCATCAGTTCATTAATTTTTCTGCTGCCAACAGCCATTTTTGTACATCCCTAGCTATGAAACATTTGTCTCTTGCACCTCAGAAAAAGGAGCAGAAAACAGTCCCTGAGTAGGGCTTAGGGGTAGAGGAGGATTTGGCTCTGCCCCAGCCTTCTCCTGAGCTCTGGAATCTGCTTTGTGCCTGTTGCATGTGGGGTTTCCCTGGTCTTAGGTCATAGCTCTGATCAGGTCTCACGCTGACATGAGAAGTAAGGGAGTCCTGGGGGTAGATGCTCCAGAGACTGTGAGTTGACAGGATCTGTACCATGTGGGTTTAGAGGGTTTGTTTTTATGGCTTTGTTATTGAGATGGTTCTCATGGATTCCAAACTGGCCTCAAACTCACTGTGGAGCAGAGGGTGGCCTTGAACTACTGATCCTCCAGCCTTTATTTGATACTAGAGATCAAATCCAGGCCAACTCTACCAACTGAATTGTATACATGCCCAATTAAACCCGTGCATTTTTTAAGGGAACTGGTTGCTTTTGAAGGAGCCTGTTTACTTAGCAAATACATGGTACGGTGTGAGAAAGGATTGGGAGTGAGAGATGGGAAAATAAACCTTGTATTTTGGAGGCCACCACAGGCTTCTTTCTGCACGTCTTCTCTGATCTGCTTCCTTGCTGAGGTACACAGGGGATGGGGCCGGTGGGGCTATGCAAGCTGAGTTGAGACAAAGTATATCAGTGCCTGTATGCTAGAGCCATGCAGAAAGGTCTCAGAGAGGAGTGTGACAAACTGAAAAAAAACTTCTCCGAGGAACTTCACAGTGTACTAATACAACTGCCCGTCATTCAAAGTTTCTTGTTGGAAAGCTTCACACTGATTGTGCAGTATCCACAAAGGAAGGAAAGAGAAACAGTCTTTTTACTACTGTCTGGACTCATTTTGTCTGTGCCGGACTACTGAAGGTGGTTAGTTAGTGTTTATGAGTATTGTTGATGCTGGCTATCATTTCCATTAAAGCCAGTGACTTCAAGGCTCAGCTGACAAAGCTGTCTCTTCTCGGATCTGTGTGACTGATTTGGGGAGTGCTCTCATTGTCCATCATGGTGGAAGGCAGAGAAACTGGTACCCAGGTGTGGAAAGTGAACCTGCGCAGAGGCTCAGGAAACCCATCCAGCCCATGTCCTCTGCCAGCCTGACCTGAGCACCTTTACACTTGCCTGGATCTCAGTCCCCCAAAGAGACCCCCGCTCTGCTCCTCACAGGCTCCATGTGATAATACCATGGCTATGGTGTGGGGGCTTTCTCAGGACAACCCAGGCTTCTTAAACTAAGGGCAGAGCACAGGCACACTCACACATGGCTCTTGTGGTCTGGAAACACCTCATTTACAGTAAGTACTACTGCTGCTGGAACACTTTGCTTTATCACATTATGGTAGGTTATGGTGTGGGAGTTAACCAGAAAATAAAATTGGCCAAGATTGGCTGGAGGGATGGGTGGCGCAGCAGCTATGAGTGCCTATTGCAGAGGACTCAATTTGGGTAGTTTACAATTATTCTAACTCCAGCTCCAGGGGATCTGATGCCTTTTACTTCCAAGGGCACCTGCACTGCACTGACTTGTATGTCTCTATGTGTAGATAGCACTCACTCTCTCTCTCTCTCTCTCTCTCTCTCTCTCTCTTTCTCTCTCTCACTCACACACACACACAATTAAAAACAAATCTTGTTTTTTCTTTTCTTTCTTTCTTTTTTTTTTTTGAGACAGGGTTTCTCTGTATAGATCTGTAGATCAGGCTGGCCTCAAACTCACGGAGATGTTCCTGCCTCTGCCTCCCTAAGGGCTGGGATTAAAGGCATGCGTCCCCACCGCCCAGCTCAAAACAAATCTTAACAATAATGATGACTGCTGTTTTGGACAAATCATTGGAATGGAGTTCGGCACAGAAAAATATTGTGTGTATTTTAACGACTCTTGGAAATACAATTTACTAAGTCTTTCTCAGAAAGTATTTGAATAGCAGTGTTAACAGTGCCATCTGGATGACATAAAGAAGGAAGTCGAGTGGTCATGTCTTGCTCCATGGCAGACTAAGGCTGGGAAGGGTTCTGCTGCACTATTTAAATACTAGAAGTATGAGCCTAGGGCACTTTTGCTTTTCTCAGTTATGTTTGTTAGGCTTTTTTAAGGGATGAGGGGATGAAGTACACATATCATTATTTTTCTCCTGGCAGAATTTCTTTTTCCTAAGATGGAGTCGAGCAAAAAGATGGACGCTGCTGCCGCACTGCATTCCAACCCACCACTCAAGCTGCAGCCTGATCGCAGTGCGGGGTCAGTGCTCGTGCCAGAGCAAGGAGGCTACAAGGAGAAGTTTGTGAAGACAGTGGAAGACAAGTATAAGTGTGAGAAGTGCCGCCTGGTGCTGTGCAACCCAAAGCAGACTGAGTGTGGACACCGGTTTTGTGAGAGCTGCATGGCTGCCCTGCTCAGGTGAGTGCTGCCTGGCCAGGGCAGCTGTAACCTCCCTCTTCACCTGTTCCTTCCTCTCAGAACCATGAGTGCTTATAGGTACAGCTTCCGAGGCTTTTAGGGAAACTCAGACAGATCTCAAGCCTGAGTTTTCTGAGGCCTCTGTGCCTTGCCCTACCTGCCTCACATCCCACTCCCCAGACTCCCCCAGGCCTCTCCCCTCAAGTCTCCTCGATGGTGTCAGCACTCTGTTCACAAAGCCTCTGTCCCCCATCTGTGTTCTGTATTCCGCTCAAGGAGTTCATGTTTATGGTGGTGATGCCCAGTGATCATAAATCCTTAAAATAGAAGAGTGTGGGGGCTGGAGAGATGGCTCAGTGGTTGAGAGCATTGACTGCTCTTCCAGAGTTCAATTCCCAGCACCCACATGGTGGCTCTCAACCGTCTAGAGTGGGATCTGATGCTCGATTCTGGTGCTCAGGCATACATGCAGATAGAACACTATACATAAAAAATAAAATAAATAAATAGATAAATAAAATAGAAGGGTGCCATGGTCCATGAAGGTCAGGATCATATGTAGGACAGAACAAGTGTAAGTGTGCATGTTTGTTTAGGGGGGTACACCTAGAGCTTGTACCCAGACCCTAGAAGTTCATGAGCCTTGTGTGTTGCTGTGGTAAAAATCATAAGGGAAGGTTGGAGTTAGAGTACAGAAGTTGAATTGGCCAGGGAAGAACTTCATACTGTAGCTGTTATGTATTTGCCAGGCATTGTGCTTGGCACTTGGGTCACTACAGGGCATACTGCACCATCAGTAAGTACCCTTAGAACAAATTAGCTTGAGAGGACCAGACTCTTGTGTACTCATGCCCATCACATCCATTCCCTGGATCCATACAGTGCACTTGGCTTCCCCTCCTGTGGGTGAACCTGAGGTACCCTGAGGGATAATGACACTCACCTGTACAGGAGCCACTGGCATTAGTATACAAAGAGAGCTTATCTTTAGCCTAAGCCAGAGCATCAGAAGGCCTTCGGTACCTGGGGGTACTCTTCTCACAAGGCCCCCTCTGAGAGCCAGTGTGGCACCAGTAGGACATGTCACTTTCAAGTTATTTAAGTCTTTCCATTGGGACTGAGTTACTGAATGTAATAGCTTACTTTTTAAAAATTACCATTTTTTTTTTAACGTTTGGCTCTTTTCTCCTGTGGATTCCTATTTAACTTAGATTGTTCCATGGCGCCGTGGAGGCCTGCCTGCAGCAGAAAGCTAGAGCAGACCTGACTGCAAAGGATGTGAGCCTGAGGAAAGGAGGGGATGTTGCTCTAACATGCTTACTTTGTTTCCTTCAGCTCCTCAAGTCCAAAATGTACAGCGTGCCAAGAGAGCATCATCAAAGACAAGGTACCCTCGCCTGTTTCCTTTCATTGAAAGAGACTTGCTCTGTAGTCTAGGGTGGCCCCAAACTTAACAATTGTCTTGCCTGCCTCGGAGTGCAGTGGTGTGGCACCATGCTGGGCTTCTTGGTGGTTGATACATTTCACATAGCTTGCATTTGTTGCTCTGGAATTCAGCTTAAATTTTTATTTTATTTATTATTGGGGGGAGGTGCATATATGCCATAGTGTTTGTATAGAGGTCAGAGAACAACTTTATGGGATTCTCTCCTTTTGTCTTTAAGTGGGTCCTAGGGATCAAATTCAGGTTGCCAGGTTTGCACAGAAAATAATTTACCATCTGAGCCACCTTTTTACTTAGCCTTTGTACAATGCATTAGAATTCAGTTTTACTTCACTTGTTTGTTTGTTTGTGCCTCAGACTCAGAGATCTGCCTGTGTCTGTCTCCTGAGTGCTGGGATGAAAGGTGTGCCTTGCCAGTTACCTCACGTTTTAAAATTAAGATGGGCATGGTGGCACGCACCCTAATCCCAGTACTTAGGAGGCAGAGGCAGGCATATCTCTGGGAGTTCTAGGACGGCCTGGACTATATAGCCAGTTCTAGGACGGCCATAGCTATATAATAAAGAGACTCTGTCTAAACAAAAAAGTTACTACTTTGTGGGGAGGTGAGGATGGGAGTCTAGCTCAGGCTAGCCTTGAACTCACTAGTAGCTGATGTCCTGTGTCCATCTCCCAAGCTCTAGGTTGTAGGTGTGCACTCCCACTGCTGTTTATGCAATGCTGAGGGTGTGTCCCAGGGCTTCAAGTACTCTAGGCAAGCACACCACCGAGTCCCATCCCCAGTTCCTTGATAGTGTTCACTATGCAGCCGTGGCTGGCCTGGAACTCATAGAGGTCTATCTGCCTACTTCTGCTTCCACCTGTGGGGAGCCCTTGGGGTCCTCCCTCTCTTCCTCCCTCCCTCATTGCGTTTCGTTTTGTTTCGTTTTTTGGGGATTGTAGCCTATGTGTAGCCTGGCCTGGCCTGAAACTCATGGCAGTCCTCCTGCCTCAGCTTCCTAGGATTGCAGGCATGTGCCACAATACTCAGCCCTTAGTTTTGACAGTGGTACAGCAGGCTCCAAGGCCTGACGTGTGTTACGTGAGTGCCTGGGCAGACTAGGGACAGGCACATTTGTCACTCTTGTGCTGTAATTCCTGCAGGATGCTCTGTCCTCTGAGCTTCACCTATCACAGTGTCAGTCCCACCCGTGTGCTCCACGGGAAGGTGCATGAGGAGGGGGACTTGTGAGAGGTGCTAAGGTGCCTGTGTCACCAGGGTCTGTCTGTGGTCACACCATTGCTGCCATCGTAGCTTTTTTTCATACAGATTGCACTCAACTCTCACACTAGCTTTTACCTTCAAACCTGCCAGCGGGGGCTGGGGGCTTTGAATTTGTTCTCGCTCCCCTTCACTGGTGTCTTGAAGATCTGAGACTGAATGAGATCAGCCTTCCATCTGCCCATGAGGGTGTCAATGCACACTTAGAGAGTGGGTACCACCAAGACGTCCCCCGTCTTCTTCCTGCGCCCAGGCCCTCTCCTTCTCTCTGGCACAGGGCCACCCACATACTGCTAAGCCCTTCCAGGCACACTTGTAGCTTAAATCAACTCACTCTTAAGGACTTAAATGTCAATAAAAATGTGTATGATTCCAATATTCTGATTAATGAGCCTAACAATTTTTAATGTAGGCTATTAAATCCCATAGTAAGAGTCTTGCTCTGGGGTTTCCTGTCAAAAAGCATTTGCCAGTGTTAGACTTACTGACCAGGGTAGCCCAGGTGAGACAGCTAGCCACAGGGCCCCTGGGCTATAGGGAGAAGGGCTTCTGATGGAACTTGTTCTGGCATAGTTAAAGAGTAAGTTAGCCAACCCTCCCTGCTTTTTTTTTTTTTTTTTTACATTAGCATATCTCTGCTGCTGTAGACTCCAGCCACTTGTTACGAGAAAAACAGGTCACTTACCCACTCCTTTCTTTGTTTTGAGACAGGGTTTCTCTGTGTAGCCCTGGCTGTCCTAGAACTCTGTAGACCAGGCTGTCCTTGAACTCAGGTCGGCCTGCCTCTGCCTCTGCTGGGATTAAAGGCTGCGCCACCAAGTCTGACTCTTACCCCACTCCTTTTCTTAACATGGCAGTAAACCTACCTTGTTCACAAGGTCTACCTTGTCTACAAGGTTTGACAAGTGTGTCTGAGAGAAAGAAGTTAAAGCCACAAACATGTGGCTGTTTTTCATATCGTTCATTCACATTTGTGATCCTTATTTCTTCCCTCCCCTGCTCTCTCCTTCCCTTTCCCCTTCCCCTCCCCAAGACAGGTTCACTACACACACACAGTACTTGCAGTCCTAGAGCTCACTGTGTAGACCAGACTGGCTTCAAACTCAGAGAGATTCTCTTGCCTCTGCCTCCCAAATGTTGTGATTAAAAGTGTATACCACTACTCTAGTTTCTAACTGAGGTTTTGAAACAGCAGCTGGCCACTGATCCTGGAGCTTGCTGATTGGATAGGCTATCTGGCCAATAAGCTCCAAAATCCTGTCTCCACCTCCCCAAAACTGGGATTCTAGGTGCACACTACCACACTTGATTTTTATGTAGGTGTCAGTATCCTGGCTCAGATCCTCGTGCTTGTACAGCAAAGCACAGAGGTGACTGGAACATCTCTGTTTTTAAATTTACCAGCTACCAATTCTGTCTCTACCTGGGAGTTTGGAAAGGGCATGTTAAGTGCCCTGTCTTCCTTTCACAGAGTATTGACAAGTGGTTGTGTCTTAGAAATGCCTGCGGACCAAGATGCTCATCCTTATGAAACACATTTAAATCTTCCTTTGGGCTAAGATGTGGCTCTGTGGTGGAGTGTTTCCCTAGCATGCTCAAGGCCCTAGGAGTCCACCCTCTCTGGGGAAAAGAGAAAGGAAAAGAAAACACTTCCTCTGGTAAAAACTGAGTTATAGGTAGCATACACTAAAAAGGAACCAAAATTGTTTTATTCATTATTCAGAGCTTTTCCTCCACAACCACTGGTCTGATTCTGATGAGCTTTGGTACACTGTGCTGAGTTGCCAGCATGTCACCACATCCTTTGGCAAGAGATGTGCCTCCAGGACCATCTGCTGATTATTGGCTGGAAGTTTGAGCCTGCCCTGTCCTGAGGCTCTGTCTTCTGATTTACCTAATAAAAGATAGTGGTTACAGTTATATGAGTTAAATGGTGTCTCTTTGTGGGGCTAGCTCCTTCATTGTACTTAAAGAAATTAAGATTGTCCTTAATGCTTTCTGAGGCCCACTTAAGAGTTGCTCTTAGCATTTTTAGAGTGGTTTTGCCTTGTCCAATGGCAATATATGAAGATTAAGAAGTATTAATCCTCTAACTACCTTTCCATTCAGGTGTTTAAGGATAATTGCTGTAAGAGAGAGATCCTGGCCCTTCAGATCTGCTGTCGGAATGAAGGCAGAGGCTGTGCAGAGCAGCTGACTCTGGGGCATTTGCTGGTGAGTGCCCAGGTGGTCCCAGAACCAGAGGCACCTCTGTTCTGGGACCGTGAGCTGACTCCCCTCATGTAACTGCCTGGCCATGGCGACAGAGCACTGTGTGCACCCTGATTCTCTGTTAACTATATTCTTTTCAAGCAAAACCATGCAAGAGAGTATCCAATTCCCAGGACATAGAGTGTCACTTTTTATGACATCAGTGAATTGTCATCCTCTGCTGCCTTACTTAGAATTAAAGAAATTAGAGTTGGGTTTTAATTTTCAAAGGCACTTTATAACTTTTATTTCTGCCATGGAATTTCACATAACTTAAGGTTGCTTTTTTATTTTTAATTTGTGTATTTTATTCAGAGTGGATACTTGAATTAGAATAAAGGGTTTAAAAGGTTAACATGGTGTGTGTGTGTGTGTGTGTGTGTGTGTGTGTGTGTGTGTGTGTGTCTATAGTGGTGGTGTTTTGTGGGGAATTTGATACAAGTTTTACTCTATAGTTTGCGTGTGTGTAACCTTTGACACTGGTCTTGCTATATAGTTGAGGATGGCTTTGAACTGAGGACCCTCCTGTCTCAGCCCATTCTGCCAGGATAACAGGTCAGGTCTATATCACATTTGGCTAAAACAGTTAAGAGAGACATCCCCGCCCCCAGCTCTGGTAACAGAGAGGATGAGTGCATGGTCCCTCACTCATTTGTGTGCTGAGGAAACATAGGTGTGCACCGTGAGCCTGTGTCTCTCGGGCCTGCCACTCTGCTGGCAGTGGTAGTCTGCCCTTCACACCTGCCCGTTCACACCCACTTCTTGTCAGCTAAGATCTTTGCTTTGTTCTGCAGATGCACCTAAAAAGTGAATGCCAGTTTGAAGAGCTCCCCTGTCTTCGTGCAGACTGCAAAGAAAAAGTATTGAGAAGAGACTTGCGGGATCACGTGGAAAAGGCCTGTAAATACCGAGAGGCCACATGCAATCACTGCAAGAGCCAAGTCCCCATGATCACACTGCAGGTGCGGTGCTGCCTGCTCAGGTCCCCTCTGCTCAGCTCAGGTGCACTTCCTCTGCAGAGACGAGGGTTCTAACAAGGATAAAGACAAAGAGGGTTAAATAGCAATTTTCATCTAACTTTATTTCAGAGTAAAGCTGTATTTGTTTTACCTATTTTGATTGATATAATTAACACTTTCTATTGCCTTGATTGACTCATTTGAGATGTCAAGAAAAAAAATGAAGAATGATGATTAAAAAAAGGTAGAATTTGTAACTTGTCCCAAAGAATAGCCTCAAATTTTGATGGAGTGCTCATCCTCTCACAGCTGTATGACACAACTGCCACTTACAGCAGTCTCATTTATCCTGCAGTGTCAAAGGCAGCCAGCCATCTTTCTTAGGGAGAGATAGGATTTCAGCGTTTTCCTGCCTCGTTGTTTTGGCACAGTCTGTCATGTTTTGCAATGGAATCATCATTTCTGTGTGAAAGATAAAAAGACATTGAGGGTGGAAGACAAGTTTAAAAACATTCATCTGTAAACATTGGTTGTACCTACTGTATGCCAAGCCATTCCAGGACACGGACTGCTTGCAGGTCCTGAGAGGGGACTTAGGAAGTATCAGGAGAGTTGGGGGTCCTGGTCAGGTATTGCTGAGAGGCCAGGCAAGTGGGGACTACTCTTGGTGGTCATCAGAGGGGCACTGTTGGTATAGCCAGGGTACAAGGGCCATTGCTGAGTTTCTAGTGTCTGTCCTGGAACATGGCGTGGCCACCATGTAGGAGAGTCTCCTATCCTATGAAAAGAGGTGTGTTCTGCTCTGCTGTCTCAGCACTCGCTCCCATAACCAGCCAGGCCTGAGTCTGGGCCTCATTTTATCTGAGTATCTTTTTCTTGCAGAATACCATAGACATTCCCAGTTACTAAGCCTTGAAGTGTCTTCCTTAGAATGTGTCTAGTTGAGTAGTTTATCCAGTAACAAGTTTCCAGTGAGACACTGTCTGGGCTACACACACGTTAATACAGCGCTGTCAAAGTTATACTTTGCTTCGTGCAGAGATCAATTATTTATAGAGTAGAATCAAGTGGTTTTCATTTGAGAAGGAGCTGAAACGTGTCAGTCAGGTACTACATAAGGAGTTACCTCTGCACAGCAGGCGAGGCTGTAGGAGCCCGGAGGAGGATGGTTAACTCCCTGTTGATGGCCGAGGGGCTGGCTTGGAGTTTCTGTCATGAGTCTGCTGCCCGAGAAAGGAGAACCAGGTATACAGTTAAAGTCCTGTAGTATGGAAAGTACTGTGACTGCACACTCCACAAGGAAGGGCCAGGGAGCGTTAGTGAAGAAGCAGTGCTGATTTCATTCCAGTTTTTAATTGGCAGCCACAGATAGAAGGAGAAGTTGGACCTAGAGAGCAGTCTGAGAGGCCTTCCTTTAACAGCGCCACGAGCATGCTCTGCTGTTGCTTTCATTTTGCTTTGTTATTCAGTATTGAACTCAGGGTCATCTTCAGAGACCGCTTTTTAATTCACTGTCTGACTGTCTTTGAAATCACCATTGATCCAAGCTGGCCTTAAATTTGGCATCCTCCTGCCTTGGCCTCCAAGTAATTAAAGTCACCAGATATGGCACCCCAATGGCCTTTTATTTTTGTTTTGAAATAGGTTCTTTTGTAAAAGTCCAGACTGATCTTAAATTTACTAGGCACCCAAGGATGACCTCGAGCCCCTGACCCTCCTGCCATCGCCACACACCCTAGGATTATGGGTGTGTGCCACTCCTGCCTATATTAAGGGTTATATTGCTTTCTACTCTGCTTTTCAGGCCCTTACATCACACTGAGAATGGAAGCCAGAGCATTGAGCTGTGTGTCTGCAGCCCAGCTGTGGTTTTTAACTAGCGTGTGTGCTTCACACTGTTGCCTATGCATCCCCTCCTGACACTGGCAAAGCAAGTGTGCGCTCACTTCTTTGTATAACTAAGAAGGCTCTGTGACTTGCTCTGTGCCTCCTCTCCTTCTGTTTAGTGCCAGGATTGCACTCCCAAATCTTCTGATTTTTTTAGATCTAACACATCTTTCAATGGTGAAATGTGCCATACAGTAGTATAGGTTAGGGCCTGTGGCGCACACTGCATAGCTGGCAGTACAGGACCAAACTACATACAGTTCTTGAGGCAAACTGTATTTTAATAAAATCTGAATACCACCTAGATGAAACTCTTTTGTTAGGCATCCATAAATATGTGATGAAACTAAGTAAAAGGCAGAAATACAGAATTCAGCATTGTTTTAGTGGTTTCTTGCAGGAAGTAAGGATGAGGTAGGTTCTGAGTGTTGATCACATTCTCCACCTAGGTAGTGTTTCATGAATGTTCATTGTATAGCTAGGCTTTGTATTTCCCACATGTTCACACATGTGCAGTCAAATTTGCATCATGGGAATGTACACGTACTGTCCAACACTCAGAGGCAGATGCAGGAATTCAATGCTACACTGTTTTCTAGGTAACCAGTCTTCTTACAAACGACTACAAAATATATCAAGTTTTTGTTTTGTTTGTGACAGAGTCTTATTATGTAGTCCCAGCTGGCCTAGAACTTGCTGTGAGATCAAAGTCACAGATGTCTGCCTGCCTTTCCAGAATGCTGGGTTAAAGGTGTGTGTCATGTACATGCCTGCCTGAGTCTTTCCTTCGACTGTTAGAACACAGTATAACTAGCATCAGGTGGCAGCTTTCGGTCATTCGTGATGCCGTCTTCTGACCTCTATGGGTACCTGGCACACACGTGGTGCACAGCCATACATGTAAGAAAAAAACACACACTCGTTAAATAAAGTAAATTTGAAAAGAAATCAGAAACCAGCAGCAGCTTTGAGAGAATACTTTGCACCTTTTCCTGGACACCCCGGTTACCATTGACCCTTAACTGGAAGCTGTACCCCTCCTGCTCTGTCTCTGTGTTTAGCTGGCTGCTCCTGAGTCCTTGCCTCTCTAAGGAGGCAGCCATGAGTCTGAAAACCTTGTCCTAATTAATGACAGCTGCAAAGAACCAGCTCCAATAAGGTCCCATCCAGAGGTTCTGAATGAACACAGGAAATACTATGGGAGTACACTATTCAGTCACTATTATGGGTAGAAGTCCTGAGCAGGCAATTCAGTGAAAAGAAATATCCATGATTAATAGGAGGAAATACACCAATTCACAGTGCCTTGAGCTGAAGGATCCCCATGCTCTGTATCTCTTCCATTGGTTTGTCACAGATTAAAAAGTATGATAGAATTGGTAAAGTGCAGGAATATGCTTTTTCATGATAATAAGATTCCAGATTGGGGTCAGATTATTGGAGGGCAATTTGGCAACAGTTCATCAAAATCTAACTTAAACCATGTGCATCTTTTGATGCTTTTAAACCTTCTTCCAGATATTCTCACATAGGTATGCAAGAGTTCATACAAAGATGCTGGCTGGCTGTTCTACCTCATTCACCTCCCAGTCAGCCTGCCCACCCCTCCTTCCCTCCTCCCCCAGTCTTGCTTTCCCTCACCTCCTCCAGTGCGTCTTGATCTCCTCTCTGCTATGCTTGTGTTGATGAGGTAGGCACCACGCAAGTGTTCAGCCCAGAGAATGAAGATGGGAGTGTGTGGGTTCAGGGAGTAGAGAAAACACCTGTGGTTCCTTTACCACCGCTCTGCTCTGTAGACTTATTATGGCCTCTGCTCTTGGAAGGGTAGTGTGATCACACTTGGTGTACAGACAGATGTGGTCAGTATCAGAAAAGCAAGGCTAGTTACTGGGGCTTCCTCTGAAATGAACAGAATGTCTTGACTTTGTGGTTCTTGAAAACTCTGGATCCATGCAAACCCCACATGCTGGGTCCTTGTGCAAGCTGTCCTGGGAGGGAGACCTATGTCCAGGTTCTCCATGTCCAGCCCTTCTGGTCAGTATGGAATGGTGGTGGACTTGTTTACCAGGTATTTTGGGAGACTCTGAGACCCAGCTCAGGAGCAGAACAACTTAATCTTGTAGGTATTCCCCTGCTTGGCAAATGCAGTGCTCACATCCAGAAGGCCCAGTCCTTCAAAATTCCAGCAAGATTGAGCCTGGTACCCTCCTCAGGTCAGTATCCTCTGTTAAACAAGTATTTCTAGCCAGGCGGTGGTGGCACACACCTTTAATCCCAGCACTTGGGAGCCAGAGGCAGGCAGATCTCTGAGTTCAAGGCCACCTGGTCTACAGAGTGAGTTCCAGGACAGCCAGGACTGTTAAACAGAAAAACCCTGTCTCCTAAAAACAATAACAACAACAACAAATATATAAAAGACCACAAATATATTAAAAGACATGTACTTCCCTTGTATGGGCCACTGGTTTTGGCACTGTACATGCCTAGCTAGACTGAACAAGTGCCACGGTCCATTTATCCACCTAAAGATAAATGTCACCAAAGTCCAAAGGAACTAGAAAACCTACTGAGACCTGGAAGTATCCCAGGATTGGGGAGAGCTGCCGAGCACCTCACTGAGCTGCAGCTGCTGTCCTGGCACTTCTGTCTGGCTTTGCCTTCACTGTGGGCCAGCAGTGCTTTCTTGTGCCCTTGCGTTTGATGTCCTCAACCCTTTGATATTCTTGCCCTTGCCTTTTTATGGCCAGGTGCTCCTGGCATTGAGATTAACAGTCCCTATTCTTCTGCAGAGCTAAAGATCATGCCATTTCAGTAGGGCCTAGACCAGAATTTTAACATACATGTGTACTAAAGATTATGTAGGCAAGATTTCAGGACAGTATCCAGGGGATCATGAAACTTTCACCTATTGGAAAGGCGTTCTGTCCAGACTCCAGACTGAAAGGCCAGAGGAAAATCCAAGCATGGGCATTTGACCAACCCCACATTGTGCATAGGGCCCTTGACCCCTGGGATCTGCTGGGGAGGAGCTGGCAGTGTGCGTCATAAGTTCCCTGTGAGTCAGATCTGACCTGATGTCACAAGGTCCCCGACACTCGTGCTCTGATGAGTGTGACGTGGTAATGGTTGGCACATCTTCCTCGCTGTCTACATTGGAATGGTGGACATTGAGAAAGCTGAGCTTTGCTGGTCCACACTTGACGCACTTCCTTTTCCTTTGTAGAAACACGAAGATACTGATTGTCCCTGTGTGGTGGTATCCTGCCCCCATAAGTGCAGCGTCCAGACTCTTCTGAGAAGTGAGGTAAGGTAGCCAGGGCCCAGGCAGGAGCCCTGTGACATTGGGCCCCATGTACTGTAGACTCCACTCTTTCTGAGTCATGGCCATCTATGAGGTCCTCATTCGTGGTAGACTATGATAATGTGTATAACAAGAAAGACAAAACTGACAGAACTTTTTGGACAGAACTGTTTGCTTTGTGAGAAGCAAACAACAAAATGCTACAAAAAGGTGAATTCAGGATTGGAAATACTAAGAATTGAAAAAAATGTGAATAATTACAAATGTAAGTATTGGTCGTACTTTAAGTTTTTTGAAAGCACTGTTTTTAATTTTACAAAATAGGGGCTGGGGAGATGGCTCAGTGGTTAAAAGTACTGACTGCTCTTCCAGAGGACCTGGGTTCATTTCCCTGCACCCACGTGGCAGCTCACAACTGTCTGTAACTCCAGTTCCAGGGGACCTGACACCCATTGCAAAACATCAGTGTATACAAAATAAAAATAAATTTAAAAAAAAAATTAAAAAAATTAAAAATAATGAATTGCCTCAAAAAAGTTAATTTAGACCTTCTAAAACCATTTGACCACCTCATGAGCAGGGAATGCTTGAGGGGAAGTAGATGCTGAGACCATCCTTAGGGGCATGTGTGAGGAGTCCCAGTGACTATGCATTGCATCCTGCCCAGATACTTCTATAAGGTGGCTAGATTTTATCATTGATTTCATTTGATCTGTCCATATGAATAGGTCCATGTGGGAAACTCTAGGGATCCCTAACATTTTTACATGGGACCTGACCTGGAGCCCCTGTGATTGCTTAGTATCTGAGACTCTGATCTTTGGAGGCTCTGGAGTCTTCTCCAGCAGCCTGGCATCTCTGGGCAGTGGGAGGATGGCAGCCTAGAAATGCTAGCTGCTGTGCGCCTAGTGCTAGGTGTATAGAGACCTGGGAAAACCCTGAGAGCCCTGCTCACCTAGGTACATCCTCCCGGACAGCAACAGGTAAGGACCAACCTGGTGTCAGGCCTCTCGGAGGGCCTGGGAGAAATACAAGTAAATTCTCCATGCTGGTCCACTGCAAGATCCTTCTGTTAATGTATGGAGAGTCTAACTACTAAAATGATCCCCATCTCACTTCAGTTCTGTCCATTCAGGGTTCTGAATTAAGATGAACAGTAGCCTCTAAGTTTTATTTTAAATTAAGATTTTAAACTGCATTTTTCTTGGTTTCAGTGATAGGAGCTGTTGGGCTGTGCATTAGTCTTGCTTCTGTTCCCAGAACTCCTATAAATTCTTCAGGCCTCTGAGTGTACCCATAATAAACCCAGGTTAGGAAAGGGTAGGACAGTGAGTTTATAGTAGAAATAGCATGTCAGAACAGCGTGCCCTGGTTGTAGCATTAGAGGTGGTAGACAGTCATGACTGTAATAGTTACAGTGGCCCTGAAAGAATGTCACACCTCAAAGTTTTAGACTGGTCTACACTGACCTGCTTGTGGAGCCTTTTGGGTACCTCCTCTGAGTCTGGCCCAGGGTGTCCTGGCTGGGTTCAGGGAAACTGCAAGCACACTAAGCTGCTGATCTCCATGACTGCCTAACAGGCCCTTTTCTATGTGGTTGGTGGGGGGTGGAGGGGCTCAAGGCCCTTTTCCAGGTTGCCTTTCTTCTGACCTATTATAAAAGGGTCAGTGAGCAGAGGAAGAATGGATCTGTTTGTCCCTCATTCCTAAATACCAAGCATAGAGAGTAACCACCTTGGCAGACCGAGGGAAATTCCAAAACTACACAAACAAGCACCTACCTCTGTCTGCATAGACCGTGTGGATTTGAGGAGAAGGCAGCATGCACACAGCAATGGTGCCATGGCGAACAGCCCAGGCACAAGTCTGTCTTTAGGATGTATCTTTTCATTTCCCTTCCTCTTGCTTGGGGCATCCTGGAGCTAAACAAGAGGCTTTCTTCTTTTGGGATAGCTTAGATTTTCCAGGCACTCGTAATTTTCCATCTATCAGTTAGAGGAGACAGCATAAGATTCCTGTTGTTAGAATGGCTGTTGGTATCTTTGAAAAGCTTACGAGGCTCTGAAGATGCCAGGAAAAAAGGCTTTTCAGATGAGGGAGCAACTTGCCTCCAGCCATCTCAGGTGTTACTAGTAATGGTTCAGTGTGTGAGCTTGCTTTGAAAATGGGTTTATTTTTGTGTACTGTATAGTAGGTGTGTGACCCAGTTGCATCCCAAATGCTTTCTGATTTTTTGTGTTTCATACAGTTTTTTTTAATAGTCTTTAAATGTGCATTTCAGTTTTTTTTTTTTTTTTTAATTCTGGCACTTCAGACGGCATGTCACAGTTTGAACAATTTGTTGTAAAGAAATTGGAAGTTTAAGAACTGTTACAGTAAATGTATTTATGTATATTGGCGTGTATCCGTGTATACCTGTGATGAAACTCTATTTTACTGCCTGAAGTCCAGCAAGCAGATGATACGTACATACCTGCAGCTGATGAACTCCCTTCTTAACAGCTCAGCCTCGATGCTCTCTGTGCCCTGATAGGTTTGAACATTTTCATGCAAACGTTTGTGTCACAACTCACGTCTCTTTCCTGTTGCAGTTGAGTGCACACTTGTCAGAGTGTGTCAATGCCCCCAGCACCTGTAGTTTTAAGCGCTATGGCTGCGTTTTTCAGGTCAGTATCCAACATTTGTCCTTCCCAGTCACTGACATTCTGCCATTGAAGAAAGTTCTCATAATTCTATTTTAACATTTGAGTTCTCACTCTTTTAGTCTTTGTCGTGAAACCAAACCATCCTGCTGCATGGGTGGAACAAGGCATGCATGCAGCAGGGTGGGTGCTCACTTGCCAGTCCAGGGCGTTTTGAAACAAAGATGGAACAGCATGGGGAAGTCAGTATGCCAGAACTGCTACCTCCAAGACAGCTTCAGGTAGTAAGAGTGCAGTGACATCTGACAGAGTCTCTGTGGCAATTGTAACTACTTATTACCTGAGTATAGGTGAATTAGATGTCGTTTTGACATTGTCTATCAGCCCCGAGTTGTAAGGATCACACATGGGCATCTGTAATGCTTGTTTACACATGTGTGCTGACTCTTACCATGCCAGGGTTGGAACTGCCTGAGCAAAGCCTGTAGAAAACTTACTTCCAGTGAAACAGTGTTCACGTGAGAACCCTGCATACAGTTTTCTGTTCATGTTTTAAAAACATACCTGAGATTGCAAGTTAAGACTGAGTTTATCTACCAGAAGGCAAATAGGACAGAGTCGGATATTTAGTTTTATGTATTGACAGTGCGTTGTTACAGAGTTGGTATGGAGATAGCAGCATTGCAATACTTTTTTCTTAGAAGATGAAAAACAGAATAAGAATAAAGTTCTCCCTTGCTTTAGTCTAGGAGGCGCCTGTGCCTCCCTGTTCTGTCGTCGTAGCGCCATCCATCCTCTGTGTCTGTGCGTATGTATGCTGACGCAGAGCTGTGCTCAGATCAGCATATATAGAGAGAGACTCTATGTACAGAGTATATGTTTTGGAGATCATGAAAATGCTTTTTCTGATTCCTTAATTTTCCAGTATCAAAACAAATGATATTCTCAAATTGGTTGTTTTCTTGAATATGCAAAGTACTATTTAATGTGCTTGCTCTTGGCTTGAATGGTCTGCATCTTATGTACTCTGTAGATTGTTTATGTTTTGTATGTAAATTTCTCAGCACACTCAGCCTGGTGAGGCGGTGCCATTTTGGATACAATGCTGTACCATAGTTCACTGGACTACTGTGGCAGCATCTGCCTGCAGCTGTAGGTTCCAGAACATTCTCTATGTATAGCTTCATGGGAATGATTTGTAAAGGAACAGGATGAGTTTCAAATTTAATTCCTGCAAGTATGCCACATTGATGAGAAGCCACTATAGAGAACGTGAAGGAAGAGGAGCATTAACTTGAGGCTAGCTCTGCAGCATCACAGTGTTCTTGGCGTGCTCCCTGCACTGTAGCCTAGGAAGCCCTGAGGGAGAGCCCCTGGAATTCCCTGTACATAAGTAGGCCCCCTTTGTGTGTAATGCTGCTTCTAGAGTTGTGTGCTAGGTTTTCTGTCCTTGGGAGTGATCGATTTAGTGTTACCGCCTTTGCTCTTGCAGGGCACAAACCAGCAGATCAAGGCCCACGAGGCCAGCTCTGCCGTGCAGCATGTGAACCTGCTGAAGGAGTGGAGCAACTCCCTGGAGAAGAAGGTAGGCATGAAGCATTTGGCTTCTGTCCAAGATGAAATCTATTTTGTAATTATCATTTTTTTTTTAATGGAAGGACCAGAATGAAGAAATTGTCAACAGAGTCCATTCTGTTGGAATCTTGAGCAGAAGTGTTTGCTCTGTGGAGGCGTTTGTTCATATTTGGCTGCCAAGCAATGTGCAGTTCTGGCTTTCTTCCTTCTCTGTATAATCACTCTGTGGGTCATCCCTGATCTAGGACAAAGATTGTCCCAACATTCATACTCTGGTCCTTGGCTCCATAGTTCTGTGAAAAGCAGCCACCGTGTACAGGTGAATTGACCCTGGCTGTTTTGGTACCCACCAGCATGGAGACTGCTGGTCTGGACCACTTAACCCCAAATGCTGGTTGTCTCCTCACAGACCATGTTTGCCAATTCCCACGTATCTGGTTACTTTATAAAACTGTGTCTTTTGTAAGTCCCAGGAAAACATGTTGCCTTCTCCCTGTTTGCAGTTGGTTCTCTCAGCTGCACGGACTGCATAGACAGCACCACTACCAACAGCCTCATTTCCCCAGGAGGCGCTGTGTGCCTCCAGCAAGGTTCTTCTGTTAGAGTGCACCTGCTCACGCCATTTGTTCTCTGGTGCTCACCCCACAGCAGGGCTGTGTTGCTGTGAGGAGTAGGGGAAGCACTCCAAGACTGATGGGAGGAATGGTTATGGGCTCACACTTATCCTGGCTCATTTACATTCAATACAGCAATTGACACTTGTATCAGGAGGGCCTTGATGTGGATTTCAGTGGTTGGTGTAGCTGACATTGGCGTTTTATAAAGTTCTGAGAGTCTTGTGTTAAGTGATTCGTACAGATGTGCTGCAGAGTCTCACCCTCCCTGATGCCGGGACCTTTGATACGGTTCCTCATGTTGTGGGGGCCCCAGCCATACAATTATATTCCCTGCTACTTCATAACTGTAATTTTGCTACTGTTGTGAATCATAATGTAGATATTTTTGGCAATAAACGTTTGTCAGAGGGGTCACGACCCACAGGTTGAGAACTGCTGGTCTAAAGTCACAAATCAGAAGGTTCCCAAGAGAGCACTCGTGGTGCCATGTGCTGGTGCAACTGGAAAGGTGAGGTGAGGAACAGGAAGAGCCAGGCCCCACAGTAGGACGTTTCTGGCACCCAGTCAGTGCCCATTTCCCCCAGAGAACATGCAGTGTTTGCTCTGAGCCCATTGATAGCTATCTAGGACTCTTTCCCCCTCTTTCTGAAGAAAATGTTTTGTTTCTGCCATTTTTAAGTTATTATATAACCTCAGGATGTCCTGTATCTCATGAGTACATTTAAAAGGCCCTTTCTTTTACTTAATTTGAACCCAGGTGTTGTGGCACATACCTTTAATCCCAGCCCTTGGGAAGTGGAGGCGGGAAGGTCAGAAGTTCATGGTCTTCTAGCTGTATAGCAAGTTCAAGGACAGCCTATGCTCCTTAAGAACCAGTCTCAAGCCGGATGGTGGTGGCACACGCCTTTAATCCCAGCACTCTGGAGGATCCCAGCAGGAGGATCTCTGTGAGTTTGAGACTAGCCTGGTCTACAAGAGCTAGTTCCAGGACAGCCTCCAAAGCCACAGAGAAACCTGCCTCAAAACACACACACACACACACACACACACACACACACACACAACCCTGTCTCAAAAGAAAGAAAAAAGAATTAATGTTTTGTTTGTTTGTTTTATTCACTGTACTCTAACTGCAACATAGGAGTTTAATGGCTCTGGGAGTGTGGCTATCCAGTACGACTGCCCAGGAAATGATGGGACAAACAGATGTTTTCAAGTTGAAGAGGTCCCTGTTTTCACTACAGGAGAGTGTGGGTGTGCTTCCTGCTCACCTCAGTGGTAGTCATTAAGAGGCCGATGAAGGCAGCAGTGTGCGGTGGGCTTTGCTCTCTAATGTGTGAACTCACCGTTCAAATAGAAAAACTCTGAAGGAAGAAATTAAGACTAGTTGGTACAACAAGTGCATGTTATTGTTAGTTGCTTCTGCTCAACCAGTACTTAATTAATTGCTGTAGGAAAGTTGGTATTTTTAGAAATATCAATGAGATTCTTGTTTAAAATGTTATCTCCACTTGGGGTGAGGATGAGAAAAGCCTGGAAACTTGGTCTGGCTTTGCTAGATGGGAGTAATTGAACAGTAACTTCAGAAGAGTTTTGTAAAACTGCTGTTGCCAGTTTGGGAAGCAGAAGCAGATGGATCTCTGTGAGTTCAAGGCCAGCCTGGTCTACAGATCGAGTTCCAGGAGAACCAGGGCTGTTACACAAAGAAACCCTGTCTCAAAAAACAAAGCAAACAAACCTGCTGTTGCCCTTCTTCATTGGTACAGGTTAGCACTGCAGGAGGTTCCGGCCTTATGTAGGAAAAAGCTGGGAAAGTGAGGCCCCATTTGCCTAGACACATGCAGGCTCCTGTGCTCTATTTGTTTTCTTTCTTTTTTTTCTTTTTTAAAAAAGATTTTATTTACTTGTTATGTCTACAACATTCTGCTTCCATATATATCTGCACACCAGAAGAGGGCAGCAGATCTCATTGTAGATGGTTGTGAGCCACCATGTGGTTGCTGGGAATTAAACTCAGGACCTCTGGAAGAGCAGTCGGTGCTCTTAACCTCTGAGCCATCTCTCCAGCCCCCATTTGTTTTCTTACTATCTTCCCCCCCCCCCCCCGTGGTTTTTCAAGACAGGGTTTCTTGTGTAGCCCTTGCTTTCCTGGAACTCTGTAGACCAGGCTGACCTCAAACTAGAGGCCACCTGCCTCTAGTTCACCTGCCGAGATCCACCTGCCTCTGCCTCCCACGTTCTAAGATTGAAGGTGTATGCCACCACACCTAGCTGACTTCACTAGGCTCTTGTGTTAGGGTCTCTTTGGGTGTGAGCCCCATCTGCTTCTGAGGAGTTAATGGACTGGCCCGAAGGTGGGATGAAGTGCCTGTGTGACTGCATTCAGGCCACCTCTCCTTGTGTTTAGGGATGTAACACTAGTGGGTGTGGCCTTTGCAGAACAGTGATTGGCTTTTTAAAAATTGAGAGATGGGGCTGGAGAGATGGCTCAGTGATTAAGAGCACTGGCTGCTCTTCCAGAGGACCCTGGTTCAATTCCCAGCACCCACATGGCAGCTCAAACTGTCTGTGACTTCAGTTCCAGGGGATCCAGAATCCTCACACAGACATACATGCAGTCAAAACACCCATGCACATAAAATAAAAATAAATAAATTTTAAAAAATTGACAGATGGTGATTGTATGTACAGTATGATGTTTGGGTGTGCATATATTAGGAAATGGTTAAAACAAGCTAGTTGATGGGCCCATACATTGTTTCCCACACACACACTTTTTTATGGTGTGAACATTTCAGATCTGTTCTCAGCAGTTTGGTGTACTCATTTCATTGTTGACAGTTGTCACCATATTGTTCAGGAGTCCTTAGAAATAGCTCTTAAGCTGAAACTTTGTGCGTGTGGCCAGTGTCTCTCGTATCTCCCCAGTCTCAGTGCCCCTTCTCTTTGCTTCTTGCTTTAGTTTCTTGGTTCTAGTTGTGAAAACAGGCAGTATCTGTCTTTCTGTTCCCAGCCTGTTTCAGCTAGTGATGCCCTCCAGGGACTAACTTTTTATTATTTTTATATCAAATAGAAAGACTAAAACAAAATACCAAGCACATTGTGTTTTTAGAGCAGGTATGATTCTGTGAAGCCCATTTTTCAGGTATATACACAGTGCTTGTGCAAGCTGGATAAAATAAAAAACTTTCTTTTCTTTGTTTTTGAGACAGGGTTTCTCTATATAACAGCTCTGGTTAGCCTGGAACTATCTCTGTAGACCAGGCTGGCCTCGAACTCACAGAGATCTGCCTGCCTCTGCCTCCCGAGTGCTGGGATCAAAGATGTGTACCATCACCGCCCAGCTTAAAATTGTTTCTTATTATGTATCCTGGGCAAATCTGGAAGTAGCACTGGTAAAAGATTTGTTTTCAGTGAGCACTTTAGAAGCCAGCCCCATGTTCTGAAATTCAGTTGTCCTTCCCCAAACCTCCCTTAGCAGCAGAGAGAGACAGAAATAGCTTGCAAGGCTCCCTGCTAGCTCTCCAGAATTCCACTTTTGTGTGGAGGGATTTTTCTCCTGGGCTCCTTTTAAGAAGCCAGTAGAAAGCTTATATTGTGAAAATTTAATTACTATCATTATCGTTAATTAATACCAAACTACTTTTTGTTAAACTAATTGAAGAATTTCTTTCTCAGGTTTCTTTGCTGCAGAATGAAAGCGTTGAAAAAAACAAGAGCATACAAAGTTTGCACAATCAGATATGTAGCTTTGAAATTGAAATTGAGAGACAAAAGGAAATGCTTCGAAACAATGAATCCAAAATCCTTCATTTGCAGGTGAGCACCCTGCCTGGTGGCAGGCATCACTGAGTTCCTGCAAACAGGCCCAGAGCTTCTCTTGCTTGTGTGAACACTCAGAGGCAACTGGGTCAGCATGTACCTGCCTAGGAAGCTGACCCAAAACAAAACCCTTCTTCTGTCTTCAACCTATTGAAGCAAAGCAAAATTTAAAGTCCTTGTTTTAAAAATTAGCTGTGTGTACCACTGGGCTATGGTGGTATACACCTTTAATCCTAGCACTTGTTAGGCAGAGGCAGACAGATCTCTGTGAGTTATAGGACAGCATGGTCTACAAAGCAAGTTCCAGGACAGCCATGGCTACAGAGGGAAACCCTGTCTCAAAAAATCTAAATAAAGTAAAAAATTTAGTTGTTTTGGATGGGGTGTAGCTCAGTGATAGAGCATTTGCCTAGCATGTACAAGGCCCTAGGTTCCATACCTACCACTGCAAACAGAGAGTCTGTGTAAAATCTGTTTTTATTACTGTTTAAGATAACATTGTTCATTAGTACTTGTGTGCCAAGTTTCACTTTCTAAAGTGAAATCAAGCCAAACTGCTTTGTTCTGAGTTCACACACACACACACACACACACACACACACACACACACACCTAACTTTATTTCACCATAATCATCCAGAGATACACCCAAAACAACAAATACATAAACTTTTGCAGGGCTGGAGAAATACTTCTTTGGTTAAGATCACTAGCTACTCTTGCTGAGGACTAGGGTTTGATTCCCAGAACCTACATGGTGACTCACAGATGTCGGTAACTCCATTTCCATGGACTCTTGTGCCCCCTTCTGGCCTTTGTGGGCACTGCATGCATGTGGTGCTGATGGTGTTAAAGTATTAAGAAGTGAAATATATGTAAAGGTGGTGGTTCTTTGTTTTTTAGGGTTGTTTTTGTTTTTAGTTTTGTTGCTGTTGTTTGAGACAAGGTTTCTCTGTGTAGTCCTGGCTCTCCTGGAACTCACTCTGTAGACCAGGCTGGCCTGGAACTCAGAGATACCTGCCTCTGCCTCCTAAGTGCTGGGATAAAAAGCACCAGCCAGCTTGAAGTATTTAACAGAATTTTAAAGAAGAGCTGGATGTGGTGGCACACGCTTTTGATCCCAGCCCTTGGGAAGCAGAGGCTGGAGAATTTTTGTAAAAAGGACCATGTTTGGGGCTAGGGAGAGGGTCATGTGTAAGGTGCTTGTCACACAAACTAGTGCAGTACCCAGGACCTATGTCAATGCTGGGCAGGCATGGCACCTGCTTGTAATTCCGATGCTCTAAAGGCCCCAGACAGATCTGGCTAACTAAACCAGTCATAGCAGTGAGCTCTCGGTTAAGTTGAAAGAACTTTATGGAAAGAATAAGGTGGAGAGCAAGCAAGGAAGGAAGGAAGGCTCAAAAAGTCAGCCTCTGGCCTTTGCACAAGTCACTGTCAACAGTGTGACTTACACAGGTCACACCTGCACACTCAAAAAAGAAAATGTGTTTGGGTTTTGACACCCACCCACCCCCAGTACTGGGATTGAACCCAAGTTCCTGAACTGGCTAAACTATTCTGTTTCCTTTCCATGTTGAGACAGGGTCTCACTAAGTTACCTAGGCTGGCCATCAGCACACTCACAGCCCAGGTAGGCCTTGTGCTTGTGATCCCCTTCTTCAGCCTCTTCAATAGCTGAGATTACAGAGCTCTGCCACTAGGCCCAGCAAACCAATTTTTCTTTATAAAAATGGTAGCCTGGGGACTGGAGAGATGGCTCAGCAGTTAACATCACTGTTTGTTCTTCCAGAGGACCTGGGTTCAATACCCAGCACCCACATAGCCGCTTACAATTCTCTGTAACTCTAGTTCTAGGGAACCTGACACCATAATACTAACATACATGCAGGCAAAACAATAATGCACATAAAAATAAATCATTTTTTTAAAAAATGGTAGCCAAGTGTGGTGGCGCACATCTTTAATCCCAGCACTCGGGAGGCAGAGGCAAGTGGATCTCTGTGAGTTTGAGGTCTACAAAGCAAGTTCTAAGACAGTCAAGGCTACACAGAGAAACCCTGTCTCAAGAAAAAGTATCCTGGATGGAGAGTCCAAGGCTAGCCTGGGCAATTTAGTGATATCCTTTCTCAAAATAAAACTAAAAAGGACTGAATGCATAGCTAAGTGGTAGTGTGCTTGCCTAGCATGCCTAAGGCCCTGGGTTTCGTCTGCAACACTTCAAGGGATTTTAAGTGACAGACAGAGTGTATGCCAGTGAAGTGGCTCAGTGGAGAAAGCTGCTTGAGTTCAGTCCTAAAACCCTTGATAGAAAGAGAGAATTGACTCCATGTGTGTAGTGTGTGTGGTGGCACACGAACACACACATGGAAAGAAAAAGACAGGTTATGCACCACATGTCTGTAGTCCCAGGTGCCTGAGAGGCTCAGGAGGGAGGGTCTCTTGAGTCTGAACAGCAGCATCTGTGTTCCATGACTCAGAAGAGGAAAACAAGCTGCTGAGTAATAAATTTAGCTGCACATGCTGCTGCCAGTTGCTAAATCCATGCAGTAGGGCTCAGGTGAGTGTCCACAGGCCTCATTCTTCCACAGTCCATATGGAGCACCACAATGCTCCCACTGAACAAGGTTGTATGGCCAGGGCCTGAAGGTGACAAGGGATAGCAAAGGACATTTACTTCAGCCCTGAAGTTCAGTTGCATGCAGCTGGTCATCTGAGTCTCTAAGAGCAGGCCTGGAGTTGGGATTGTTTACTGTGTGTGCAGACTGCTGCTTCCCAGCTCCCGAGCTTGCAATTAAATCTACACCTGCAACCTGCCCTTGGAGTGTCCATTTGTAGAAACACTGCAGTAGCTGAGAGTTCACCAAGGCACTTCAGGAATTAAGTTCTTTGTTATTCACAGAGAAGGCTTGACACAGACCTGTATTCTGCTTTAAGCTGTATTGGTTCTGCAAGTGAAAGGTCTGTCTGAAAAATAGCACACTCCCTTGCTGGGGTGCAACTCCTAAGTTGTTTGAGTGAGCCCATTTGTGTGGAGCATGTGTGTATACACAAAATACATGCCCCTGTCTCTGCATTGTTTACCAGGTGCTGAGGCAATGCCCTGTACTATTTGGGAGAGCTTCATGGCCAGTGGTCTTGTCTCCTATGCCTGTCATAGTTGTTAGGGAGAAACAACTCAGGGCTATGGAGCTTAAAGTGACTAAGTGGCTTGCATTAGACCATGTTGCTAATCAGGGCTTCCTCCCTGATCCTCTGAGGAACCAAGCACCATCACTCTGACCATGGTCAGGCTTTCCCCTTTTATCAATACCCATAGTAGCTTAATTTAGGAGGTGATTCATTCAAAGAACACCATGGCTGTGGATGTGCATTAATGCCAATACAATTGACCCCCAGAAAACCGTTCTTATGGAGCCAAATATTCCTCTGATTATACATTCTTGTTTAAAATAGACATAGGTCTGGAAAGATGGCTCAGCTATTAAAGGCTGGGCTCACAGCCAAAATAAAATAAAGAGACGTTGACATAGCAGGCTTTTATCACCTGTGCTGTGGGGAGGGGGGTTCTTTATGAGTTCATGTATGTAGGTGTGTGTGCCTAGAGGGTAGAAGAAGGGCCAGGTGTCCTGGGCTTCTGCTTTCTACTTTATTCCTTTGAGGTAGAGTCTCACTAAATTGGAGTTAGGGTGGTGGCCGAAAAGCCACAGTGCACCTCCTGTGTGTCCTTCCTTAGAGCTGGGGTTCCAGGTACACACAGCCATCGCTTGCTTTTTACATGGGTGTTAGAGTTTGAATTTGTGTGCTCATGTTTGCACAGCAAGTATTCTTACCTGTTGGCCCTCCTCGTCCTTCTTAAATGTCAGCAGGGAGACTCGCATCAGCCTTTCTCTCTGGTGAGAGAATCCAGACCTGCCTCGTTTGTTCTTTCCTGGTTGGTCACAGCCAACAAAGGTGCCGATACCCAGAATTTCAAATATAGACTTGCAAAAGAAGAAGTGAAGATGGTAGGCTGTCCCTGGGGCTGTCCCCAGAGCACCCTGTGTGACCAGTGGCTCCAGAGATACTCCACTACCTTTGGAGCTCATGTAGACTCTTTGCAAGAATGGAAACTCCATCACAGGGAGAGACAGGTTGGAGCACGAAGCTCTCCCTGTTTCCGTCACCCGAACATAGACAGCCCTTAAACACCCAACTGGAGCATGAGTCTGTTACCCTCACAAGTGGAGTGGTATGTTTCTATAGAAAGCTTTTCCGAGGCACTTAAATTAAGACGGTGCAAAATTGGCAGGCCCTGTGTCAGGACAGTGACTCTGCTTGCATAATGTCCTGGTTCCCCTGAGTGCAGAACCTACTCTCATGGGCCAGTGCCCTTAGCTCTTCCTAGGCCTGAGGACCCACAGCAAGCCTTCTCTGGCCACCAATGCTCAGGATCTCTTGTAGAGGCAAGATAGAGGGAGCTCTCTGCCTTGGCAGTTCTAGGGACCCCTGTCCATCTGTTCTGAGCCAGGCAGCTGGGCAGGCAGACAGCACCATCATCTGACTGTGATTGTGACTCCATCACCCTGAACTCTGTTCCCTTTGACTGGCAGACACCAGGGGTCTTGGGCCTTAAGAATCCTCTATTAGTCAGACGAGGCTTTGACCTCAGTCCCTTCTCTGTTCCTGTGGCCACCTGTGGTGCCAGAGGTTCATGTGGGTACAAGGTAAGAGGTTTATGTCAGTCTAGTGGGATATTTGTTAAGGATGACAGGCAGGGAACATCTGTGAGTGAGGTCAGGGTCACAGCCAGGGTTCTGAAAGGAAAGCTGGTGGCATTTACATGGTGCCTGGATGCAGGAATGTGACAGACAAGCAGTTTAGCCTAAGATGGGGAGGCTTGTGTAGGAACTATGTGCACACCTGTGGTTTGGGGTATTGTCCCCTTTCACCTCATCCAGCCCTGCCCTTCTCCTGGTGACTTAACAGAAACGCTGCTGGCTGATGTGGTGGCACATTATCCAGGCACTGTGTTCTGCAGGCTGGTGGGTGCCAGCCACTGGGTGAGCAGGAGTTGACAGCTCCACCTGGCATTGGGGGTGACAGTACAGTGTGCCCAGAGTTCTAACTGGTTTTCATCCTTAACCCCTTTGGTCTGGAAGCGAGTAATAGACAGCCAAGCAGAGAAACTGAAAGAACTTGACAAGGAGATCCGTCCCTTCCGGCAGAACTGGGAGGAAGCAGACAGTATGAAGAGCAGTGTGGAGTCCCTCCAGAACCGTGTGACTGAGCTGGAAAGTGTGGACAAAAGTGCTGGGCAGGCAGCTCGTAACACAGGTGAGGGCATTGGGTCTGAGGCAGCTGCTCCCACTCTCCATGGACCACTGCCTAAGGAGGCGGTGTATTAGCACAGCATGTGCAGGCTCACAACAGCCCTCTGAGGCACAGGTGGTGCATGCTGAGAGTCCTCCAGCAGAGACTTAGTTTTCACTTAGATGTGCCCCTCCACGTGAGCTCCAGCGTGGCAGGGTACAAAGCCCTCCCTTAGAGAGAGAGGCTGGATTATAGGATATCAAGGCCTATTGGTCAGGATGCCGCTGACACACTCTGAGGGCCCAGAGACAGGAGCACACCGGGCAGGGGAGGTGGGCAGCCTATTGCCCAAGTGTCTCTGACATGGTGAGCAGATGCGTGCCCGTAGCTTTGAGTCTGAATAAGCTCGGTGATGATTCACATGGAAGGATTAGAAGTAGGGGTAGATTATTGTGCTGCATGGCTTGGATTAAGCAGATGGAGGGCGTGTGGTTAGACTAGAATAGGAGACAGCTTAGACTCTGAGCCTAGTGTCCCTGTGGGTGCCAGGGCCATAAGACAGGAGCGTGAGCAGGTAGGCAGCCAGGCTCTGACAGCTGTGGCCTGACAGTTGGAGGGGAGGGAATGGGAGGAAGATACAATGCAGGTGCCCCCACCTTGTTCACCCTGCTCATGTCTGCCCTCCTCGGTCACGGGGACATCTGTGGGTTGCTGCTGCAGACACTGTCGCGTGTGTGCTTCTCTGATGCGTATATGACTTGTTTGCCAAATGTCTTCTTGCCTGTGGCAGGCTTGCTGGAGTCCCAGCTGAGCCGGCATGACCAGATGCTGAGTGTTCATGACATCCGCTTGGCTGACATGGACCTGCGGTTCCAGGTCCTTGAGACCGCCAGCTACAATGGTGTGCTGATCTGGAAGATCCGTGATTATAAGCGCCGGAAGCAGGAAGCCGTCATGGGGAAGACCCTGTCTCTCTACAGCCAGCCTTTCTACACGGGCTATTTTGGCTATAAGATGTGTGCCAGGGTCTACCTGAACGGGGACGGAATGGGAAAAGGGACACACCTCTCGCTGTTTTTTGTCATTATGCGTGGAGAATATGATGCTTTGTTGCCATGGCCATTCAAGCAGAAAGTGACACTCATGCTGATGGATCAGGGGTCCTCTCGGCGTCATCTGGGAGATGCATTCAAGCCTGATCCCAACAGCAGCAGCTTCAAGAAACCCACTGGAGAGATGAATATCGCTTCTGGCTGCCCGGTCTTTGTCGCCCAAACTGTTCTAGAGAATGGGACGTATATTAAAGATGATACAATTTTTATTAAAGTCATAGTGGATACTTCGGATCTGCCTGACCCCTGACAAGTAACTGGGGAGGTGGATTCAGCAGAAGGTAACTCCTCTGGGGCTGAAGCCGTCTGTCTTCACGAAGATCCTCGACCTCAGAGAGGACCGTGTGGGACAGGGCAAGCAGCCAGAGGAGGAGGGTGCGTGGCTGGCAGGAGGAGCCACACGTGAAAACAGACCCCAGCGGATTTCCCAATAGACTAGCCACACTCACTCTGAAGAATTATTTATCCTTCAACAAGATAAATATTGCTGTCAGAGAAGGTTTTCATTTTCATTTTTAAAGATCTAGTTAATTAAGGTGGAAACATATATGCTAAAAAGAAACATGATTTTTCTTCCTTAACTTGAACACCAAAAAGAAAACACGTGGAGGTAGCTGGACGTGTCAGCATGTTAATTTAAAAGGAGAACTTATGAAATAGTAATACAATTCTGATATATTCATCCTAAAATTCAAGAGTGCAATCTTGTTTCAAATATAGTATATTGTCTATTTTTAAGGCCTCATCTGGTCTCTGTTTTAATAATTTGTTTGTCAGAAGGCCCTGAGTAGACAAAGTCTCTAAATTCAGAAGTCATTTTTAATTTAAAGTTCTACAAATAATTGTTACTGCAAACATTTTGTTTTAAAACGTTGATAGACTGATATTTCTTGGAAGAAAATGTAAAATATCAAACACTGGTTATCACTTGTGATAGGAAAGAGAGTATTCAAACTGTTGTTATTTCTCGTTAGAAATGTAACGCTTTGATACCTGTCGTAGTTAGTGACACTACTTCACAATGACTGTGAGAGGGACAGTGCTCATGGATGCTGTGCATCATTTCAGACAAGTAAAATTGTTCTCACCCTAAAATAGGGCATTAGTTGAACTTTGGAGTTCTAAACAAAGTCCTGTAGGCTTTTAAAATTCTGCCCCATGTTTAGACAAGCTCTCTCTGTTGCTGACAGCACCAGCCATGGTCTCCAGTGTCCAGTGTACCGGGATGGGCGGGTGACCTGTGCTGCGGGAGGCCCCAGCAAGCGTTTCTCATACTGTCATACTGCTGCGTTCGGCTAATGATTTCCGAAAGCAACGTCTGTGCTCAGAGATGGTGGCATACGGTACATGTGCCTTAGATGTGACATGCTGCTTCTTGTCCCTGGGTTTTTGTTCACCATGACTCTAGAAAGTGATAGATTAACCAGATGTCTCTCTCTCCACCACCAGATCTTTGTCTCTGCCAGGGCCCTCAGACAATTCCGAACCTGCCTGGGGAAGCCAGGCCTCCGTTGGCAACTTCCGAAGGCTCTGCTGCTAACTCCCACTCTAGACCCCCAAGAGCAGCCCATTCCCACCCACCCCAGGGGAAGGAGGTGTGAGCAGAAGCCACGCCCTTCCAGGTCTCCACAAGGGCCCTGAAAACCCCATTCCCCATAGCGTGAAGGAGAAACCCCTTACCCTAAGCATTCCCAAGACCAGACCACTGGTCTGGGGGCCTGCCCAGGCTGGCCAACAGTGGCCCTGGCCTCCCTGTAGAAGGGTGGTCAGCTGATGCCCCAGCCTGTCCTGCCCAGATGGCACTCTCGGCTCACCGTTTACTCTCTCGATGGTCTAACTGTGACAGAAGCCTGGAGCCCTGCCCCGTGCCCCTTTTGCTATGCACCACACTTCATGGTGCTCTCACACTGATGGGTGCTACACGCGACGGGTGCTTCTTAGGCAAAACCAATGTGTGCGAACCACCACATCTGTGCCACTCGCCCAAAAGGCGCGCCCACAATTGGCCAGCTGGGCCCGCGCTTCAGACTGCCTGCCTCTGGGCTCTCCCCTTGGTTGCGCGGGGACAGCTGGGTTGGTGCCCGGTGGCCCACCTTGTCTCTGGTGCTGCCATCTGTCCTGGGTGTGCCTTTGTCCCAGTGCCTGCTGGAAGTGCCCCCCTCCTGCACCCCTGCCCCGTGTTTCCATGCACCATCTCCTGGCCTCCAGCACTTGCCCTGCCCTTCCATGGCTGAAGCTTTGGTTCTTCACCTGCTGCCCCTTCAGTTCTCCACTCTGCTGGGACCGCTTTGGGGTAAGTCAGTGGAAAGATTGCAGAGCCCACGTCCTTTAAGAGGTGCCCTCTGCTTCCTCCAGGCCTGTCCCCCAGTGTTCTTCCCCAGAGGCCTGGAGTTGGGAAGACCACCTGGCAATCCTTAGCTGGCCTCAGGTAGCTTTTCCATGGCCAGGTGTCAGCAACAGGGACACCCCTGCAGCACTTGAAGAAGTCGGTACAGTGCCAGTGGGTAGAGGCCGGCAACGTCAGGGGCTGATAAAAAGCTTGCCCGTCTTTAGGGTTAGAATCTGGTGTAAGGGTGACCCTGAGGTGTCCTCAGGCATTCCCGCCCTGGGAGTGAGACTTCTACAAGACTCCCCACGTGATAAGCGCCCTCCTGGCCTTCCCCTGGGTGCCTGCAGGAAGTGAGTAAAGTAAGTAACTGTTGTCCCCTGGGATGAGGGCCCAGCATGTCACAGCTTTCTGTTCTGTAGAGTGTCTCTTGCATTTCTTGGTAACAGTAGAGTAGTGCCCGCTCTCTCAGTGTGTGAAGGACGTGCCCAGACACGTCTCCTGGGAGGTGTGGAGCACGCCATATCCTACCTGGGTGTGCCTCGCTCCACTCCATCTCAGCATTCCTTGGTGCCCCTTTGGTGCTCACCACCTGGGCCAGTTTTGGGCTGTGGTCTCAGCCTAGTTGAGGCCCTGTTGCCGGTCTGGCAGCCAGCCCTCACCATCTCACAGGGTCCTGGCCACACAAAACACAGGGTGGTCATGTGGTGTGTGTACCTGGCTGTGCAAAAGTGTCAATTGCTCATCCTTTAAAGGGTCATTTGTTCCATGGCCTCCATGAGGAAATTGGACACAACTCCTGCTTGCCTGACACAGTTTCCTGTGCCAGCTCAAAACTGCCCCTGGGAAGATGCAAGCCACTAAGTGGCAATGTGTCTTGAGGCCTGACCCATGGTTTTTGTGAGTAGCTGAAAGCCTGTGTCAGTAACAACCCAGGACAAGACTGGGAGTGAGCGCCTTCCACCTTCATTGGTCAGGGAAAGGAAGGTAGCCTGAAGGGCCCTGGCTGGGCCTCCCTTACTTCTTGGGGACAGACAGACCCAACCGAAGCTGTGTAGCATGCCAAGCTGTGGGTAAGACAGAGCAGTGGATGAGATTGCAGATGGGTGCGTGTGATGGGCTCATTGAGGAGAGAGCAGTGCCCACACCCCAGCCCACCCAGCTACCAGTTTCTCTAGGACCCATTCTCAGCATTAGAAGAAGCAAAGGGCTGTTGAGAGGTCCTGTACCGCAGCCCACATCTGTCTCCCCTTCTTGGAGTAGCCTGTGCACAGATGGACAGTGTCCCTAAGACAGCACAGCAGTCAGCTGAGGGAGGTGAGTGCTTACAGCCACCGCCCTGCCTGCCTCTTTTCTTTCTCTGTTCTTTCTCCATTTCCTCCCAGGACTGGGACTCCCAGGAGCTGTGGCATGACACACTGTGGCTTTGCCCCCTGGGCAGCCTCCAGTGGGGCTTTCAGACCTATCGCCACCAGTTCCCCTTTGAATTGGCTTTGTCTGACTCTCTGTGGTCAGCCTCATGAGGACCTGGAGGTCAGACACAGTCCCTCGAGGGGTAGCTAGCCACCTTCCCAAGTCTCCTTAGTCTGCCCCAGAGTCCCACCTGGAGTTGGGACCACATGCCTGGTACCTTGGGCTGGACATTAATGATGCCACTGTAACTGAACATTATATGGTTAGCAGTCACCCATGGCAGGCCTGACAAGTGATGGGCTGCACCCAGCAAAGGGGAGGATGTCTGGGCATGCCAAGTAACAGGGTCCTGAGTGGACTACTCCTGCAAGCCCAAGAGGAAACCAGGGGGACCGCTGGTGCCAACAGCACGGCCCTTGCCTCCTCCTTCCCTGCTCACTGCCAAGCATGGCAGGGACTGCACTTTGTACCTGGCCAAGACATTTCCCACCTGACAGCTGACAGGATGGGTCAGTCCCTACCCTCCTATACATCCCTCTGCTTGGGACCATCAGTGAATGGAGAAGGGCTTGGTGGAGCTTAGGGTACTATTTTTTTCTCTTTTCTCTTTTTTTTTTTTTTTTTAAACTTTCAATCCCACACTTTCCTGACTAGCTGCAGGAGAGCTAGTGTGAGTTCCAGGCATGCCATTGTGTCTGAGTGTGTGAGACAAATGAGGGTCTGCCCCCAAATCTTCTCAGACTAAGATCATGGTTCTGTCTTCTGTTTGCAAATCCATAGCAGCTCATTTCTCCAAGCTAGAATGTGTCCACGGGGTCTGGGTCTGGTGAGGTGATAGTTGGCAAGTGACCCAGCCATCATTACCCGTCTCACCCCAGCTGGTATTGGTTGCCATGAGCACTGTGGCATCAGGGAGCCAGGTCAGTGGGGACAGTAAGAAGAGGCCAGCAGCCTGTCCCAAAGGCCTGGACATATCCCAGCCTGTTGTCCATTTGGAGGGTTCCCTGGGCACCATTGCTAGGCAGGTGGGCACCACACCAAGGCAGCCGTATGGCTAAGCAGGCCCAAGCAGCCAAGTAGAGTGTGCGATTCATTTCCCCGCCACACCATGTCTGGAGTCTTTCATGTGAGTTCACTGTGGAGAGGAGGTGACAAGTACAGGGTCACTGTGCCACTCCGTAGTCAGTAACTGGTCTACACCCTTAGTCCCCTTAAGTAAGATAACCTTCAAAGGCAAATAAATGACCTAATTGGGAAACACAAAAGCCGGCCTTCCTCCCGAGGATTTCCCCAAGAATCTGTAGGCGCTGACTGAGGAAGTGGGGGTCAATGCAGCCTGTTGTGGGGTTGCGTTCTTTTCTCTGAGGGCACGCCTCTTGTGTTCAGCTCTGTTACCCAAAAACAAAGACCAAAGAAGGCCAATCTCTCATTGGACTGTATTTTTAATCTGCCTGTTTTGACACTTGCCGTCTGTAGTAACCGCTCGCTGTGAGGCCCCATCTTGACAGTCCAAGTGATTGTGACCAGTGATTAGCGTCCTGTGTTCTTCCGCTCTTCTAAGAAACCGAGACAGTGTGAGTTATTGCTCAGCAATAATCCTGTCAGTAGGAGTTAGCAACATGTCTCATTTCCCGATAGCATTACGATGTTTCGTATTCTGTTTATGTTATGTGTGGTTTCATTTGGTATTTATTTGTGTTTTGAGGTCTTGCGATGTTTCTGTTCTGCTGCTAATAATAAAGTTTGTAAGACTGTAGAATGCAAAATTTTGCAATGCTAAGTGTCTATTAGAGGAAAATAAAGCTGATTTAAGAGTCCTGCTTTCTTATTGCAGTCTGTCTCTGCTGGACTTTGGGTTGGGCCTCCTCCAGGTGTTCTCACAAGTGGCTGAATGACAGCTGCCTGGGTACACTCTAGCTAGAAGGGGCCACCCTTCCTTCCACGCTGCCACCATCCTGAGATACTCAAAGGTTTTGAGCAAGGCCTGCTTACTCATGCCTGGTCCAGTGCTCTCTGTCCTGTGGGGGATTGCTGCCTAAAGCCATTGATCACTCGACACCAGCTCTGCAGGATGCTGCCCCAGTATCTAGAACCACAAATGGAAACCATTGGGCACTGGGAAGTCTGGTGTTCCCCCTCTTTTAGAAATAGACAGTAGAGTGATAATAATCAATTCACCGCATTTTTAAAACTGCTGAAGAAGCCACTTTGACTAGCCTACTCAAACCCTGCCACAGTGCATTCTCCTGTAAGCACTTCAGGGCCACCTGCAGCAGAACCCTAAGCACAACCTGATGGCCTGTGGCTGAAGATGAGAGGAAGATGCCATGGACAGTGGAACCTAGGGAACTCCTGGGAGCTGGCAGTGCTTGGGGGCTGCTCTGGTGGCTTCGGACTGCTGGACCCTATACCTGCACCCTACGGTGCTTCAGTTCACAGGGTGCCTAGCACTGCAGCCCCCTGGGCTGGAGCATACCAGGGTCACTGAGCTCAGAAGGCTCCCCATGTGTGCCTCTAGTTATGGAACTTGGGGACCTGACACTGAGCTGCCCCACCCTCCCTTCACGCCTCTGTAGGGTCTTGAGGGCAGCCCTGTGACCACACTGTGGGTGGCCAGGTCACAGGACCTGCTATGGGGCTGCTCAGTGGGATACCACAAACCAAACTGCTCCTAGCCAAGCAGCCTTTGTCACTGGAGGCACCCTGCCCAAGGGGGGACAAAGGGTGTCCAAGCCTGGAGTCGGCAAGCCTGGCCCCCAGCTGTGGCTTCCCCTGACCCAGAGACCTATGACCTTCCAGTCTCAATGCAAAGGAAGGTGACAGCTGGCCACGTGAGGGGAAGGAAGGACAAAGGCTGCTGGCTCCTTATCCTGAGAGGCCAGTGACTTAATGGCATTTCTCACAACAGGACTCTTGGAAGCTCTCTGCCTACCCACTGGCCTCCCACTACCCACAGATAGAGAAGGCAGCCACCACCAAGTGCTAGCTGTGCCCTGCCTCCAAAGAACCTGTCCCACACCCCAACAGGAAGAGGAAACAGGCTTCCAGCTTTTAAGTTGGAAGAATGAGCCAGAGGTTGAGAGAGTGGGCAGCTGCTCCCAGCATTTGAACTAGCTCCAACCCATCCAATTCCCATTCTCCGCCTCCCCAAAGCTGTGCCGCACCCAGCCCAGCAACAGTGTGCCTGCCCACTCCTAGCTCTCTTCACCTCCTAGCCTCCCATGCCCCTGCCTCAGTACCTTAATAGGCTCTTTATTTCTACAGACATCCTTGTCCATCTGTCCCTTGCTTGCCCCTCACTGCAGCACCACAGGGCTGTCATTCAAGATCCCCACTACCCTGGGGTAGGTGGGCCATGTACAGTGGCCAAGCACAAAACCAACCAGATACAGCATTCATTGAACAATTTGAATGAACCAATGGGAAGCCTCGTGGTGACAGTATCAGCGGCCCAGTGAGAGAGGTGGCTTCCTTGGCATGTGAAGGTTGACTGTGTACAGATAGCCTGTCTGATACAGGATGGCAGTCAAACCCAAAGAGCAACTGCCAGTCCCCTGGCTCTGCCCTCACCTGGAGTAGCCATGCTATGAGTGCTCCAAGTTACTCTTCAGGGTTCTGTATTTCTCCCACTTCCTGTGAAGGTCCTGACCAATTCACAAGTGTGTGTCTACATGTGCCTGAGGGTCAGGGGTTGTGTCTGCAATGGAGGGTACACCTCACGCTGGTCCCAGCCACTCCCCCGGCCCTGTGACTGCCACTGTGACCCATCCTTCCTGTTGCTGTGTTCCAGTGCTGCCTCTTACAGGAAGCCTCTTGGCCCCGGCACTTTCACTACCCTTCCCATGTGGCCACCACGTGACTCTGAGCACCCTCCTGGCCACTAGAGCATGTGTCCCATGGGTCAGACTGGCTCAGCAGTGAGAGCCAGAGCCCAATCTGTCACAGTGCTTCCTCTCCAGTGAGAAACAGAACAGAATGTGACCCCAAGAATTTTCTTTGTGCATGGCCTAGCTGGGGGCTGTGGTGATGTATTGTTTATGATCTAGTAAAGCTTGCCTGAAGGTCAGAATGCAAAGCTGGCCAGGCAGTGGTGGCCACACCCTTAATCCCAGCAGCCACACTAGTTAGCCATAGAAGCTGGGCAGTGGTGGTGCCCGCTTTTAATCCCAGCGCTAGAGAGGTATGTAAGATAGGAGCTCAGGGTCTCGTTGGGGCATTCAGTCTCTGTAGTCCCCGTGAGGACAGGATCGCCACAGCCTGTGCTAGTGACTGGCTGTTTTGCTTCTTTGATCTTCAGCTTGAGCCCCAATATCTGTCCCTGGGTTTTTATTATTTGTGCTTCAGGAGGCCAAGAGCAAGCCACTCTCCATAGTTACCCCTGCCAAGCCAGCCAGGAGAGCTGATGCCCCCTTTGAAGGCAACTGTACCAGATAACAGAGCTGGTTCCCTGGCCAGTTTGGGCTCAACCTGGGTGTGAAAATGAGTGCCCCCTAGTGGATGAAGTGTTTTCTTTTTGGAAAAGCCAAAGTGGAGGGTAAGCTGAGCTCTGCAGATGAGTGGATGTCTCCAGGGAGGAGGCTAGCCCCCCCTCCTCCAATCTGCCTCCCATCACCCCACACCCTCCACCGCTCACAGGTGTCCTATCACCCAGGCATCTGCCAGTCCAACACCCCTGCTGTGGCAAAACAACAAAGGCAGCCTCAGGAAAGAAACGTGTGTGGGGGCTCTCGGAGGGCATGGCTGGGAAGGCGTGGTGGCCTGAGGCAGCTGGCCATACTGCCACACTGTCGTGATCTTCTCAGGAAGCAGAGATGAACCCTGCCACTCAGCCTGTTTCCGACTTTGTGTGGAGTCTGTCTGCACCCCAGCCCATGGGATTGTGCTGTCCATATCTGGCCCAGGTCTTGCCTGCTTCAACTCTGGATACCTTCACAGACACACCTAGAGGCGTTTCCATGGCGACCAGTTAGGCTGACAATGAAAGTTAGCCGTCACACCCTGCTCACTCACATTCCTTTGGGGATACTTGCTGTGCTCGCTCATCCATTTTGCCCCACTGGGACATGTGACTGGGCAGGGCTGGATCACAAGGGACAACTCCCAAGTTACATGTGTACCGCTGGGCCTGGAGAAACTTCCCAGTAGCCTCCTGTTGCCCCATCTGCCCATTCTCCATCCTCCTGTCAGTGTCCCCCAAGCGACCTACCTCATTCCCCATTAAAGCCCACACCTCTCCCTCTCCTCGGCTACCACAGCCAGCCTTCCGTCAATCAGCGTGTGCCTACAACATCTTCACCCTCAGCAACGCCACCCCACCCCTCCCTCATCTATCTGCCAGCTGCCACCCATCACACTTCCCTCACAGCCCACTCTCCTCTACCCACCATCCCCACGCAACCCGTTCTGTCTGTCTGTCCATCACTCGCCACGGTGCCACCACCCACTGTCCCCCTCAGTCAGCCACCGTCATCACCCATTGCTCCCAGGCGTTTAACACCCAGCACCGGGAGCCGCTGTCTACCCCGGCACCCCTGGCACTCCACCACCATTGGGTGACGTCATTGATCATCCCCCATCCGTGGTCCCCCCTACCCACCCGCCTTCACCGTCAGTCCATCGGGCACCTCACACTCTGCGCTACGCCCGCTCTTCAGAACCACCACACATGTGCGCTTTGGCAGCCTCCCTCCCTCCCTCTGCAGCAAACTCAATCCCTTCCTCTCCAGCCTCCCGCAAACTCAATCCCTGCAGACCGCGTATCAGGCCCGGAGATGCAGCCCCAGGGTTGTTGGCCACCTCCAGGCCATGTCCCAGGGAAAGTCGGGCCAACGCCCTCCTCCTGGGCACCCAGGGCCCTGGGTCCTAAAGGGCGGAAGCTAAGGTCGCTGAGAAGATTCCTCCAAGGGGCCTCAGGGGACAGCTGGGCGGGTCCGGCGGTAAATGTGTAACATCTGGGCGCCCCCTGCCCCTCACCCCGCCCGGTCACTTAGGGCCGCAGAGCAAAGTCCGCCACCTGCGACGTGAGAGCCTCGCGGCGGCGACGGCGGCGACATGAACGCTCTGGGCCAGGCCCTGCTGTGGCTGCAGCTCTGCGGTAGGCCGGGCTCTGAGGCCCCAGGCGGGTGGCCGAGGCGCAGGGGGACACGTCCCAGGAGGGGCTGGG